CAAGAGCTCCACAAGCTGCATTACAGTCCCCATTAGTCATACACCTTACCTCAGCAAACACACACGGTGTCTTCTGACCGTACACTGCATCAAAATATTTTCAGTTTTAAGAGACAAAAATTTCACAAAGTAGCAAATTGCAATATATGTATTAACAAATGAAACAATAACATTGGTACCTATCATTGGGTTGAAGATTACAATGGCCAAAACTAAAACCATGCAAAGCTCAGACCTTGTTGCTGTCATCTTTGGCAAATAATCTTTGGTTGCTCGGCTTAGAATTTGCACATATATCTATTTATAGCTATTTAAAATGGATTGCATGTGAAATTTTATGATGATAACCACATCATATTAAAAATAGAAACAGAATATTGACTACGAATTGTATCTAATAAAATTTATTGAAATAATAAGAGTGCATAAGCTGGTCATATAATGTTTAAAAAAATACCTTAATTGTCTTTATTTAAATGTTTATTTTAATTAATTTAATATATTGATTGATAAAAATATACATAAAATATTGAAATATATTTGAAATAAAATAAACTAGTACACACTTATAAAATTATTTTTATTTATTTATTTGTAATATGTATTAACATAATTACAAATTATTGCATTTGTTTATGATTATCATTCACATATTGGGTTGATTAGTATAGAAATAATAGAGATTTTTTTTTGAGAAACGCAGTAGTTGAAAAAATTAAAATTATTTAACAAAAATATATTATTTGGTATATTTTAGATAGACTTGCTTTTTTTAAATTATTTAAAATATTTAATTAGTGTAAGAATAATAATCATTAATATAATATTTATCATTAATAAAAAATTAAATTGGTTAATTTGACTAATCAAATTAGAAATTAGTTAAGTTTGTCAGTTTAAATTTTGAAAGGACACAAAAAAAGTCAACAATTAACAAAATTTAGTCAAAACTAAATATTAATTATCATAATTGTCTTAATTTAAATAATTTTATAATATATTAACTAATAAAAATGCATTAAAAATTAATACATATTTAAAATAAAAAAATTAGTACACACTATATAATTTGGTCTCTCAAATTGCATGTCAAAATAATATTTTGCTTAAATTTATTCTTTTAATTTCTGTAATAGTAATACTTAAGTTTTCACATAATATTTTTTTAATATTACACCCTCAAATTAAATATCATTTACCGTGAGATATTGCTGGGGAGATAGAAGAATGAATTAGAATGATGTCTGCGTTTTAATGTCAATAAAACATGTAAAGAAAACAAATTTGAAACTTCAATGTCAAAGCAAACGTTAATTTGGTAATTCTACCACATGACTATTCATGTATATCCACTTATTAAAAAAAAGGTGTGACTGTACATGCCTATGAGTGAAATTTTTATTATTATTACACTCGTATTTATAAATTAGGTTAAATTTATAATTCAAGTGTCGTTAATAATATTTAAACAAATAATATAATATATAGATAATTTTTAAAAATAGCACAAATGAAATTAATTAAATGGATGGTAAAAATTTATCAAACTTAAAAATCTAGCCATGCGAGTGATTAGATAAATAAAACAAATAAAAATATATATACATTGTTATGTAATAATTTTTTCTATAATACCGCGAAATATTATAAAGACTTAATGTATGTTGAATGAGAAATGAGTAGTGTAAAAGATAAAATTTCATAATAAATAAAATTTCAAGTAAATAGTAAAAGAATAAATAAAATAATATTTTGATTTTATTGTTTTTATTTATAAAATTTATAATATGAAGAGAAAAAAATATTTTTATTATTTTAATATTTATAAGTTGAGAAGGAAAATAATTTAAAAAATGTAAGTATTAAAAAAATAACTTGAAAAAAATAATTTCTTTTAAGTGAATCTCCAATCATATGAATACTAAATTTATAAAAATAAAAATAAAATTAATATATAAATTATAAATTTATAATATGCTATTAAATTTCTTAAATTATAGAACTTTAATTTTTTTTAAATTATTACAAAATTTATATGTTATTTAAAATTATGAGAATTATTAATATCTCATCTTTAGGTAAGTTAATTTTTTTAGCACATAAATTAATAAATTACTTTGACAAGTTGAAGATGGAAAGATACAAATAACGGATAAAAAAAAAAGAAAAAATATTTTCACATGGATTAGAATTCTAACTCAATATCTACTTAAGTTAATGGGAGATTCACTCAAACAATTTATTTATAACATATATCCAAATTTTCAATAACAAATGCAAATAAAAAAAAATTTAAAAATAGGCATACATACTCATTTAAATAAAATTATTGATGATATAATTGAGTCTTCTAATATTTTTTATTTTGATACGTTAACATAAAAGATATTTTAAATAAATTATTTTTCATTAAAAGCGTTAGTTCAATTAAGAAATTATCACTATTTATTATTTATTTTCTTTCTATGTGTAAGCTTTAGTAAAGATATAATATATTTCAACAAGTTTTATGGTTGCCTTCTTTTTTATTTATTTTTTCTTCTCTTACCTCTCATGACTCATTCTACTTATATGACATTTATTTTTATAATATACAATTAGACATCTAATTTTGGAGATAGAGCTCACTATAAACAACTCATACAGTAAAAAATCTATAAAAAGCTTGTGTGATTTCAGTAGTTGAATCATTCATCTACTATGTGTTTATTCATTATGTGAATACTAAAAAAGTGTTAACCACTACAAGAGGTTTTCTTTTGAATCTTCCAAATTTTTTTTATAATTTGAATTCGCTTTTTGTTTGGAAGTTTAGAAGGGAAAAGAAAAGGAGAAGTAAGTTAAAATCCTAACTTTGAAAGAGTATGTGAGAGTGAGAGAGAAAATTCCTAGAAAATTCCCAAATTAACTAAAAAAACTAGCATTGAGAAAGCTTTAGAAGGTATTAGGACATATCCACTAAAAAACATTGTCCAAAATTCACTCTTGAATATTAACAAAAAAAGAGAAAAAAGAGAAAAATGGATACTATTTTTTTTGGGTCAAAATATACCATATTTTCTTCAAAATTCATAATAAGAAGATAAATAATATTTTTTAATAGAGTTAATTTTTTTATAAAAAAAATTGTTTAAAAAAAGTTAAATGATTAAATTTAAATAAAACCAAAAGTTAAGAAACCAATTTATTAGGGTATTTTGATTTCTCTTTTAAAAAGAGTTTTTTATTTTTTTTCTAAATATAGTATAAATTTATACTATATTTAGAAAAAAATAAAAAAAACTCTTTTTAAAAGAGAAATCAAACATACTCTTAGTTTCACATATATATATAATTATATGATAAAGATGTTTAAAGAAAAAAAATATTATAGAAAATCTAATAAAAAAGTAATTTATAAAGTTACTCAACAACAACTTATCTATCTTATAAAATTTTTGAATATTTCAAGTTTTAACAATTTCTCATTATTACTTATAACTCAAAGAATGAATGTGAATTATACTACTTCAAAACATCAATCTTGTATAAAAAACATGCAATTGAGCAATATTTTTTATTATACATTTAAAATAATGAATAATTACAACAAAAATAATTAAAGAAAGAAAAGATGGTAAGTACTTATTCCACAAATAATTTTATCAAAAAAATTTTTTAAGAAGAAAATAATTATCAATAAATATATGTTCTATAACAACAATAAACAAAAATAAAAAATAATTTTTAAATATATTAAATTATATTTAACAAAATCTGTATTTAAGCATAATTAATTATATGTTACATTATTTAAAATAATGTTAATAAAAGGAATAAAAAATTTATTACTGAGAATAATTATTGAGTATGATAAAAATATATATAGAATATATAAAAAACATTATGTATAATAAAATATTTTATTATATTTTTTATTATAATTATATTTGATATTATTTAATAAATACAATTTTATTATTATTTTTATACAAAATAATTTAATAAAAAAATATAAACAACCTCATGTAACCAGGGACGTACAGATTGACATCTGACTTTGATATCTAATTATTGTACAGAAAATGAAATATACTTTATACATCCGTTCTTAACTACTATTTTGAAATATTCTTCTCATTTATGATAAATTTATCAATATTTTATTTTTAACTTTTTTAGCTTTTTAAAATATTTTTAGCAAGAATTCTACATCTCAGCGAAGCACAACATTTAAGTTTAACAAAAAATTAAAATTTAAAAGGAAAAAAATTGTAACATGCATTTTAATAATTTTTTTAAATAATAAAACAAAAACATTTGAAAAATGTAACGTCTTACTCAATTTTAAAATATTTCTTAAATTTTAGTTATAAAATAATATATATATATATATATATATAACATTAAATATTTTTATCATTACAAAATATCACGCAATTTTAAAATTAAATGATATTTTATTATTTCACTTTATTTTAACGTACATTATATTATTTATTTAAACTATAAATAAATAGTTATTCTTAAATCATATATTTATAAAAATTTAAATTTATGTAAATTTTATATACATAACTATCGTAATAATATAATTTTTTTAATAAAAAAGTTTTAAATATATATATTTTTTATTTTAGCTCCTAGTATCATTTTATCCTATCCTTATTTAAGACATGTAAACTTTTAAATAAAGATAAAATGAGCAATATGTATGACAAATTTATACATAACCCTTTATTTGACGAAACAAGTATTTTTACTAAATGAAAAAAATATAAAACTAAAAGGATTTGTTTAGTTTGTGAAAATATTTTAATTTCATTATTTATTTTCACAAGTAATAATAAAACTATTGTGTTGTTTAATTTTATTATTAATATATATAAAAAGAAAAAATGTATATACAATTTTTAAAGATAAAAATAAAGATAAGACAATGAATTTACACTTTCTTGAATTAAATAAAGTGTAAAGTTTTTGTTTTGAATTAAATGCACCAAACATACTAAATTTTGAACAGTGCTGTCCAAGCTTTGTGTTAGTAATGCATTAATGGGGTTTGGTTGGCACGGGCGGGCATATGCCCCACAAATTACATAACCTTGCAAATTCGCAATCACCTTCGCCTACCTTGTATTGAAAATTCTATGCAGACAGACGAGTAACTAACTAACAACATTTCCCATCTCTTTTCTCATTACAATCAAATCAAATCGAATCGAATCGACCACTCATTGCATTTGGGATTCTCTGCTCTGCGATGGTTCTCTCGCGCCTTCGTCACCCTCTCTTCGCTCGCTCCATTCGCTTCCTCTCTTCTCCCGCCAGATCCATCTCTCGGTACTCTCTTCATCCACTTATCTCTCGAATTTCATAATAGCCTTCTTAGTTTTTACATCCATTTAAGCATTTGGTTTTGGAATTGGAATTGGAATTGAACTCGTTTTTGCGATCCATCGCTTTCCAAATCGCCACTTTGTAAGTTGTTATGCACTCTACGAGGCTGATAGGGTGGTGCTGAATCTGGATCATTGTTTCATTCACATAATTCATTTTCATTTGCATTTGCTCCTCTGTTCACCCTCTTCGCGTTTTGTGTGTGTATATATGTGGATTTTAGAGGATTGGTTACTAGTTAGGGTACATGCTTGACGGTAAACTGAAATGGTGCTAACAATTACTTTCTGTTGACATTCTTTATCTCATGACGATTAGAATGCTACACTTATATGATGCTAGCAATTTCTTGGAGTTGGGATTCTGCCAGTTATGCTAAACATTATTTTTATCATGCGTACTATGATTTGGTGGCATCCTTTACTTTCAAATTTCATTTCTGAATTGCTTTGGTTACTCTTGAAATAATGCCCGGCTTTTAACGTTCATTGAGTGTTGTTTTTTGTAATTCTGATTTGGTGTCTTCTTTTTCAATCTTATAATGCTGCTTCCAAGGTTCTAACATACCATTTTGGGTTATCTTTTTGGCACAGAACTTATAATTCAGGGATTTTTCCTGTGGGTGGTGATAAGAATATAAGGTTTGCATCCAATTCCCTCTCCCCCCCCCCCCCCCTTTTCTCATTAACTGCAAATTTAGTTTTTTTTTTCTTTAACTCTTATTTCCATTCTTTCCTGTGGGATTAGTTTAAATAAAAGGACAATTTATCCTATTATGACTACTAGGGTTGGAGTTGTCTGGCCTTTTGACCACCCAACCACTATTGTGGATCAGATTATCAGTTTCTTTTTCTTTAAAGCCAATTTGCCTGGCTTGAGTCTCTGAAATATAATTGTGAAACCAAACCTACATAGCTTGGAACTCCTTTGGCTGACCATACATTATCTCCAGCATGTCAAATTTATGGATCGGTGGTGGGATTGGCATTTCTTCGTTAGACATGTCACATAATTGTCACATCAATGTCTGTAGTTCATCTTTCTTCTCTGTCTACTGCATTTTTATCTTGACGGTTTACTAATAATGGTGTTTATCAGGCCTGCATCTTGTTCTAGACTTACTGGAGTTTGTGATAGATCTTTGAAGTCAAAGGTTAGTATTTAAATGGAAAAAAAAAATTCATTCATGTCTATAATGTTCTCTGATAACTTTCAACATTTTTGGCAGTGGATTGATGTCAAATACTACTCGTCTTCAGGTACTGAATGTTTCATTTCCCTACTTTTATAATGCTCCTACTTGTTTAGGGTTTTATTTTTTGGTTTCACTTAACTTGTGTGTGCTTCTCTTATTTATGATGTTTTTTTTTTTCTACAGCTGGTTATGAAAGCTTCTATTCAGGAGATTTCTTGTGAATTATGTTATGCTATGCTAGTTTTTAAGTTGAAAATTTGTATGTAGCATCTGTGTCTTGGACATCTAATTCTTTTTTTTTTTTGGTGACATAATATCTATATCAGCTATGAATTCTGTGATGCAAATTTACCATAGAGAGAAGAAAGAATAAAAAGTGGGTCTTCAATATAGAGAGTTTTCTATTTTTAAGAGTTCTAACAGATTAGTAAGATCTGTAACTTCTCTGCAGTTTGAGGTGCAAGCAAGCTGTGAGTATGTTATGCAGACTTAATCAGCCCAACTATCATTCTAACAGCAACTAAAAATTACAACCAAAACTGAATTCTGTTATAGAACTAAAATCAGCTGGCTTTACAGGCTGAGCTAGCCTTTATTAAAAAAGTTCCCTTGCCAAACTCATGGTGGATAGACTAGAGAAAAATGATTAAACATTGAGCTTGTCTCTAAAGGCAGTGAATCTTTGAGGTGATAGAGCTTTAGTGAGAATATCTTGATGCTGTTTTTCACCTGAGATTTTATATGCCATGAGGCTGTTGTTAGGAGCTTCTCCTTTACAAAGAAAATATCCTACTTCATCAACCACATGTTTAGTTCTCGAGTGCAAAACTGGATTGTGAAATAGGGATACTGTTCTAAGTTTGTCACCTAATTGACAATTCTTACAGTTGTAATTGCAACATGCAAATGCAACTCAGTAAGCAAGGACTAGATCCTCAGAATTTCAGCTACTGGCAAGCAGTCTTAGCTGAGATCTCTATTTTGCTTCAGTACTACACCTAGCAACCAGGGGATTCTACTTGGACCACCAGGAAATTAAATTGGACCCTAGGTAGATACAGGATCCAGGTGTTGACCTCCTGTCATTAGGGTCAAAGGCATCCACGTGACAAGAGGTGATTACAGGGATTGGTTGATGCGATGGTGCTGGCTTCTGAAGAAGACCACAGTATATAGACCCTTTTAGGTGTCTAAGAATTATTTTAACCATCTCCAACTCTCTTCAAGTGGCTGTAACCTGGTGAGAAAATTGGTGAACATTGTTCATAACTGCATATACAAGAATAGATGGGGCTGGGACATAAAGGATGATTCAGCATGTTGTGTAAGAGTCAAACTGTTGAAGTGTGTTCTGTCAAGAATTTTTGGTTTCTCTTAGGTGTTCTGGCCATGGTTGCTTCAAAGGAACTGAGATCTCAGTCTCACATATGCAAAGAGATTAAGCAGCCTTGCAGTATTAGTTAACAAGAAGCCAAGAGAAACTGATAGAAAATAAAAAGAGAGAAAATGGGGGGAGAGAGAGCATTGAAAGCATGCTCATGAATCAAACTATATTCTGTCATTTGTTTTCCTTTTTTGTTTAGGATGATTACTTATTATCCATTCTCTTTGAAATTCATTCTGTTCATCTTCTTTTATCAGTTTTATTTTAATTGCTTGTTATTTTAACTAAATTTTAGTGATTAAAGAGGTTAATGTTCTGATTATTAACTAAATTTTAGTGCTTTGAGGGTATTTATTCTATTTCTTAGATGGATTGCTTTTCTATTTTGCATATATTAAGTCATGTACCTTTGGTTATGTTCTGATCATTCCCTCTCCCCTGCCTCTCCTCCCTTCACCTTGATAGATTCTTCACATGCTGTCATTGGGATGCCAGCTTTATCTCCTACGATGGTTAGCTCGGGGGAACTTTTCTCTTTGTTTTATCTATTTTCCTTTAGGGCTTTCATGGAGTGTTAAATGTTGACCTCATTTCATGGTTTCAGACCCAAGGTAATATAGCAAAATGGAGAAAGAAAGAAGGAGACAAGGTTAGTTAGTATATAGTTTTTATATTTCAAAGGTAGATCATAATTCTTTGTGTTGATGCTTTCATTTTGGGGATTGACTTGTTTGAATTAATTAATCATTTTCTCCTTGCTACTGATTAATCTAACAGATAGAAGTGGGCGATATATTGTGTGAAATTGAAACTGACAAAGCTACACTAGAATTTGAAAGTCTTGAAGAGGGGTAATTTTCTTTTTCTTCCTTTGAATTTTCTCTTTCTAAGTCTTGGATGACCTGTAATTTAAGCTTTATACACTTGAGTTTCATACCATCTAGAAAATTAGTATTGTTTGTTCTTGTTCGTTCTCATTGATAAATGGTAAGTGACAAATTAGAAGCATTGTTGGTCAATAATTTTGGAGAGATCAGCAGCTAAGGATCTCCACATTAAAGGTCTTTGGGAAATTTGTGAGCAGTTTTAGTAGAATTTAAACGGTGGACTAATAATGTGGTTACTAATTTTAATATGCTCTTTCACTTGAAGCCTATTGGAGCATAAACACAGCTTATACTCTGCTCTGTTTACTGCCAATAGCTTTACACTTATGCTGCATGAAGGTGGCAAAGATCAATTCAAAAGATTACTTGGTGTTCTAAGACAAGTGTCAGATAAAAGTTTCCATTATTAAGGAGTAAGAAACAGAGAATTTTCATAATTTTGGTTGATATTTAGCACAATACTCAGTTAATCCTTGGAAATAAATATGAAGAAAACCACCCAGATATGTTATAGTTATTCTTCGTTTTTCCACTTAGCCATCTTCTGCCTTTTTATGTATGTTTAATGCATAAATGTTTATTTTAGACAAAAAAGTGTCAGAATTGATTGCCTAAATTTTTTTTTTCTCATTGTTAATTTGTTGTTCATTTTGGCCTTCTAATATGGGTTCAATATACTTGATGGGTTTTGAACCTAGAGATCATATGAGGCATGCTAATTTTAGTGCATCAATATAATGTGTTGTCGTAATTGATGATTCTTGCAGATTTCTGGCTAAGATATTGGTACCAGAAGGTTCAAAAGATGTGCCTGTTGGTCAACCAATTGCAATAACAGTAAGCCATATCATTATTTTATGATTCTTGCATTATTACTATTATGTAGAATCCATTGCTAAATTTACTTCATGATTAATTGAAGCTCTAACTATGGGCCTTGTCAAGGTTGAGGATGCAGATGACATTCAAAATGTTCCTGCTTCGTTGGGGGATGAGACCAGGGTTGAAGACAAAAAACATCAGGATGTTATAGATGAGGAGAGGAAGCCAGAATCAACTTCAACTTCAATTAATGCATCAGAACTTCCACCTCATATTCTTCTTGAAATGCCAGCTTTGTCTCCAACAATGGTGAGAAAATTTTGATGTTATTGTTGTAAGTTTTGCTTGTAGACATAAATTTTCTTTCCTTCCATGGAAGAACTAGTCTTCAAATTTTTTTACTGCACAGAACCAAGGAAACATTGCTAAATGGAGGAAAAAAGAAGGAGACAAGGTTAGTTTTGTTTTAATATAAGGTTCTAATGAGATTCTATTTTTCGGTGGGTTTTTTAATATTTTAAAATATGAACAAAGAGTCATTTATGTCCATTTGTTATTTTTTCTGTTATGCATTAACATCTAATTATCCAACAGATTGAAGTGGGTGATATATTATGTGAGATAGAGACAGACAAAGCTACACTTGAATTTGAGAGTCTTGAAGAGGGGTAACAAACAGTCTTTCCCTATACTGACATTCATTGAAAATGTTCTGTTTGTTGGTATTGTTGTGTACATTTCCACACACTGAATTATTGTTTATGTCTGAATTTGGGGGGTGTTTAGGTACCTGGCTAAAATACTTGCACCAGAAGGTTCCAAAGAAGTAGCTGTTGGACAGCCTATTGCTATAACAGTAAGCATGAAAATGCTTTGTGCAATTTTATAACTTCTTCCCATGAAATAGTTATGGAGAGGATTGAGGTCTAACAGTTTATGCATCTTCTTTTGAAATACAAACTAAGAAAGCATTCAACAATATCATATATATTTAATGGTTGATTTACCAAATTGCTATCCCTTGCTTTTGTTATGAAGAGCACTGGAGTATATGAAAATACTTATGCTACCTGCTGTTCTACAAGGTTGAAGATGCAAGTGATATTGAAGCTATTAAGAATTCTGTTAGCAGTAGCTCAACAAGCCAACAGGAAAAGGCCACCCAACATGACACTAAAAGCGTGGTCAAAGCACAGAAAAACAATATAACACGAATTAGTCCAGCTGCAAAATTGCTAATTGCAGAATATGGATTGGATGCATCAACATTGAATGCAACTGGTCCTTATGGCACCCTCCTGAAAGGGGATGTTCTTTCTGCAATTAGGTCTGGTAAATTGTCTCCAAAACCTGCTTCATCTAAAGAAAAGGCATCATCATCTCAAAGTCATCAACAAGTTGCGGCTTCACAAGAGTCAAAGTCTTCCATAAAGCAGTCGGATGCTTATGAAGATTTTCCAAATAGTCAAATTCGCAAGGTAGGTCCATCAAATGCTTCATGTTTATGAATAAGATTCTTCAATTATTTCAGGGGGCATGTTGCATGGTTATGAAAATTATTCTTGCCAAATAAGGATACATGAACAATAAACTAGGTATTCTGAGCGGCCATTGTTTGATGGTGTCTCTGTTTCGGAGTTGATTACTCAAATATCTAAAGGAAAATGCTTGTAAAAGCCCTAATAGGGTCAGAACTATTTTTGTGCCCTCTCTTGTTTGTGCAGCTCATTGTTTTTTTCTCAACAGAATCTCCTTGGCTGTTGATATACATGCAGAGATGCAGATTGCATTTTAATTAATGTTTTTTATTGATTCCTGATGTCCTATCCTTTCTATTTACATCTCTCAACTACATAAATACTTGGGAAAATTGATAACTAATGAAGGGTTAAATTTCAAATCTGCTTCCTTCCACTCATCCCCTCTACACGATAAATTGTCTCTCAATACTTTTTACTGTTTTGCAGGTGATTGCCAAGAGGTTATTGGAATCAAAACAAAACACACCACACTTATATTTATCATCAGGTTTTAATTCCCAGTGCCCCACATATTTTTGCAAACTATTTAGTACTGACTGATCAATATACATTTTCATTGGTATGTGTCAGATGTCATACTGGATCCTCTTCTTTCGCTTCGAAAGGATCTTAAAGGTATGGACTAGTAATAGACTTTCATTGGAATGTATCAAATGTTGTTGGTCTTGTAATTTTTGCAATGCAATATGTTTTATTTGCTCCTTCGTCATTGCAGAGCAGTATGACGTTAAAGTTTCTGTGAATGACATTATAATCAAAGTTGTAGCAGCTGCTCTCAAAAATGTACCAGAAGCAAACGGTAAATAATTTCATTTTAGTGTTCTATTTGTTCTTGTTGCCTATAATTGTCACAGGATAGAAGGGGTTCCAATCACAAAATATTCTTTTAATAGAAATGCGGGTTTCCTTTTCTGTTTATCATCAGTTTTTAAGTAAATATAGTTTTTTTTGTAGTATTGAAAACAGTGCAATCTTGTTATCAACAATTTGCTTAAAGCGTCCTTTTTTATGGGAGTTAACTTTGGGTTGTAGTTCTGCTCAGATAATGACTCTTGACTATTCTAGTTCTTGTATAATAATATCATCAACATATACAGCTGAATAGATGCCTCCATTATGTGAATAAACAATGGAAAACGAAGTGATCGGCTTCGCTGTTAATCATTTCAAACCGGTGAACTAACTGTGTTGATTGTTAAACCTCCCAAACCATGGTTGCAATGGCTGTTTCAAGTCAACTAATTGATATAAACTAACTACATTCCCCAGAGAAACAAAATCAAGTGATATAACTAATTAATACTCTGTCACAATGATGTAATCAAGTGTCATAAACTATTACAATGTAGGTACATAATTGTCTGAACAAATTTGGTGCTTGGTTTCTAGATTTGGATACTTTAAATTCCTGGTGCATTGTTTAGTGTCGATATATCTGTCACTCTTGTTTAATTTTCCTCATTTCTTTGGATTTTATCCCCAACATGCCATGTCAATTTTGAGTGACATGGGCGTAAATTATTGTGTATAATCCAATTTAGTTTGCCACAGGCTGAGTCCAGTGCTAAAATATTGTGAATTAGAAATGTTACTAATTACAATAGTGTTAAAATGAGTGCTAAAATATTGTGAAGTAGAAATGTTACTAATTACAATAAAGTGTTAAAATTAGGCGTATGCTTGCCTACTCTTAAACTGAATTATTCTCATGGGAGTTTCTAATGCTGAAATGCAATTTTCATTATTGCAGCATACTGGAATGATGAAAAGGGTGAGATCATTTTATGTGATTCTGTTGACATATCGATAGCAGTTGCCACTGAGAAGGTAATTCAATGTTGTTTAACTGTTAGTATAATTTTACAAAACACTCAAACCTTTTGCATGATTACAGGGCTTGATGACTCCAATAATAAAAAATGCTGATCACAAGACAATATCTGCTATCTCCTTTGAGGTAATTTTATCTCATTTATTGAGGTTTCTGGTTAACAATTTTATTTGGACTGCATATCTGTTAGTGTTAACATTTGGCATTCACACTCTTTCTAAGTAAATTTAAGAATTGGAAAGACAGAAAAGTAAGGTTCTTCTCAAACGACCTTGATAGTTTATTTGTACTCCAGGTCAAGGAACTAGCTGAAAAGGCTCGGACCGGCAAATTGAAGCCACAAGAATTCCAAGGGGGAACTTTTAGGTGAGTTTACTACTTATATTGTCATGCAACCTTGGAAATTCCCCATTTATCATTTTTTAAGAAATATTTTTATGCCAAAAGCAATAATTCTGACCTTTGTACAATGCCTTAATGCAGCATTTCAAACTTAGGAATGTTTCCTGTGGATAAATTTTGTGCTATTATAAATCCTCCACAGGTTCTCTCTCTCTCTCTCTCTCTCACTCACTCAATCACTCACTCTCTCTCTCTCACACACACACAACCCTGTACTTAAAACATCTAATTACTATCCTTGTCTAAGCAAAATTGCTTGCAAAATCTTTAATTTTTATTTAGTGTAGGGATGAATGTAGCCAAATGGATTGTCAATCTTACCATGTGCAGCACACCCATAAATAGGTTAATAAAGATATATATATATATATATATATATATATATATATATATATTTCTAAAAATTAGTAAAAGTTTTTCTTAATAATTAAGTTACTTCAAAAAAATTTAAATTTTTGTATGTGAGAGCTGTTAATTACTACTGTTCTTGTACTCCCATTTTATTACTCTGTAATAATGAAAAACCAACTTATACTTCTCTAATATGCTATTTACTATATCAACTAAGAAGCAAACTATCATGGTGAACCAAGATGGTTTTGCCTGATTTGATTTTCTTTAGAAAGAAGAAAGAAAAAAGGAAAGGAACTGGATATTTCAGGTATATAGATATTTGTAATAGTCTCTATAGTTGCCGGCCCTTTATAATATTATTCATATTCTTTGACTCAAAGCAAAATCTACTTTACGTATTCTACTTTATAGTTTATACTATGGCAATGAGAATGAAACTATCACAGCAAAATAAGGACAGATAATCCCTAATATGATTGATTGTAGAAGAGGGGGTAAAAAACTGGGAAGCGATACATTGGTTTCAGGTTTACCATCCTTGGTTTAAGGAACATGCATTTGATGAAAGCATGATATCTTGAAAGAGTTTTCAGAATGCCTGGTATATTAGTCTGAGAATGGTGTGCCAAGTTGTCAACCCCTGTGGACTGGACTGAACATATAAAATGTTCAAAGTGTTTGTTGCTTGTTGTTACTGTGGTTCTAAGGCTCTTTATTATTGTTTATCATTTGCTGCAGGCTTGCATTCTTGCTGTAGGGAGAGGCAACAAAGTTGTGGAACCAGTTATTGGAGCTGATGGTATAAATTTATAGATTTTCTCTGTGCTACTTGATGCTTAATTTTAAGCTATTTTAACATTGATTTTATATTCCTTAGGAGTTGAGAAGCCATCAATTGTCAATAAGTTGAACTTAACATTGTCTGCTGATCATCGCGTTTTTGATGGCAAAGTTGGAGGTATGCAAAGCTGATTCGGATCAAAGTAGCTAAAATAGCATAAAATCAATAGCCTATATATTCAATGCAATGAACGTAGAGTTTGGCTAACCAAGTATCAAATTTATTTAACCTCTAATCTACTGATATTAACCAATAAATATACTTTTTTTCTGACTATACTTGGTTAATTGTAAGTAAATTATTAGTTATGTAATATGTTAGTTTGACATTTGATTAATTAATGTACACAAACTGAAAAGGAGCACATCACCTAGCCTTATATAAAATGTCGTTTTGCCATTAATAATCGACTATAAAAGAGATCTTCTAGGGCGTGAGACATATTGAATAGCACCTATGGACTGCTGTTGCAGCAATCCACCAAGGTACACTGTTTTGAAGGGTGGCTTATGTTGTTTTAACTCCATTTTGCAGGTGCATTTCTTTCTGCTTTGCAATCAAACTTCAGTGATATAAGAAGACTTCTTTTATAATGGCATGCAACAAATTTTCCTGTTACTAGATTGGACTTCTCGTGACCATTCATGTGGATTAGCCACAACCTGGACCAAACTGTCATAGCATCCCCATTTTTGTCCTTTAACCTTTTTATTATCTCTTCATCTGAAACAGTTTTTTATTGTTGTGCCTTATCAATTTTTGTAAAATAATATCTTGGGTCTATTTACCAAATACACACAGAAAATGGCGCCCAAGGTACCATCTAACATTAGGTTTCCAACAATTGAGATTCAAGCATGTTGGGAATTTTGTTCATTAGGCAGTTTGCTGCTCTTTGATGTTTAATTTTGTATGAACAGCGTTGTATAGACAGCAGTACAAATACCAACATTTTGATGAATAAAAATCCCTTTCGTGGGATGCATGCCCGTCATCCGATTTAGGTGATGGAACCATAGTAATTTTTGTTTTCAATGTTAATCTATTTGCTTGTTCTGGCTCTTTCTCCGCAGCATTTCATACTTACTTTCCGTACCAGACTTTGGCCTAGCGATTGTATTAATAATGGGGAATCTAGGTAGATTTTTCCATGTAAATATGGATATTGGATTGGATACGTTGATGAATGTGGTTTAAGGTAGTACTTCAGTCATTAATTAGCCACTTGCAAATATGAAAAAATCATACCATTTATAGCTCAAAACTGTGTTTGCCGCTTAAATAGTCAATCAACAAAGCTTCATTCTCGCTCTAAATCACGCAACAATTAATCAGAAAAATGAGTTGGGCCACCTCTAAAATACCCATCTTCAGTGTGTCTGTTACTTAATGTGAAACTTAAAATGTGTTTGAAAGAAATGCTTCGGAAGGAGTTTTCTTATGCATCCGTGAAAGGACGCGAGTTTCAATCTTCGAGCTCAATAATTTTCACAACTGATGAGTCTCCGACTTTCTGGCAAACAACTACTCGGTCATGTGGCTTTATGATGCCAAAAGCCTTGCCATGGTCTAAAGCAACTTTCAAAATGGATTCATTTGTTCCACTTTTAGACTCAGCCTGCAATCAAGCCACAAAATCACCGAGTTTAGTAACTCTTATCGTAACAACCATACCCTAGCAAATTTAGGAATGGCTTTAACAAATACATATTTAATTAAGGGCAATTTAAGAAATTAAAAGTAAACTAGTAGTTAGTCAGAGAGTAAATAAAAATTGGGTGTGTCAATAGTTTTATCATGCAAATTGCAAAGCAGAAAAAAAAAGGAATGTGATATAGAGCGAAATTAATCTTATAGTATGTTTCAATCTTGGAATCCGGGTTTTTCATGGTAATTAAATTAGGGTTTGAGATTTAGATATCTGTACGAGTGTTTTCATACTGTTCTTTAGTTCCCCTTCGCCATTTACATCACTATATTAATCGATATTGAATAACTCACCGGGTGTCGTGGATCTGCCAGCATAGGGAAAAGACCTCTCACAATAAGTGATTGCCTAGCCTGCCATAGATTCATAAAAGGAAACAGATAGCAAAAAAGAAATTAGTTTCAATATCATATTTCATAATGCAAGTCAACCAAAGTTAATTGAAATAAGAGAACACTAATGGGTAATTTAAGCAGGAAAGAAATATAGGCATAGGACCATTTTCACTATCAAACCAATTATTGGCATAAGAGATGTTTCTTAACGTGTTAGTGAAAGCTAACAGACAAATTTTCCACATGTTAACGATTCTCCGTAGTGAAGTTTGAAAGCATAACTTCAATTACTTGTTTGATCATACGGAAGCATTATAACACAAAAGGACAAAGTGTTGAAGCCAGGGCCAGGTATTCACAAGATTGGTTCTCAGTGATAAAAAAACAACTGATGAAATGCCTTCTACTTTCATATGCATTTCATATAAGAAATACACAAATTGACCTTGTCTTTAAAAAACAACTAATATAAAAACGGTTAAAAAACTTGCATAAAAACAAGAATTGATGATCTTGTGGAGATAACAAAATTTATCCCAGAAAGTTGATTATATGAAACTATTTATAAACTCTTTATCAAGAATTAAAGTTCCCAATGATAGAAGCTGATACAATAATGGTAAATATTTTCTTTGAATAATTTGAATCAGTCAAGTTCAAGACCAGCTAACTCAATATGGATTCATTATCTACTATCTAGCTCCATTACAGAAATCCAGATAGTAATCAATCAGTTTAGCAAAATTATTCAGGCAACCACAGGACTGAGCTCATTCAAGACAGATAAAGCTGACTCAAAGGGTTGGCTAGCATCAGGATTTATTCCTAACATTTATGTGAATAATTCAGTTTGAAAACTCATGTAAAGCTAATGTCTTATATACCTCAAAAGCACCAGTAAATGTCCATCGGAGTTGATTTGTCTTTAATTGAGGAATGACAACGGATATCACAGGCATGGTTGGTCTGTACTTAGCAATCAACCTACACCAATACAGAATTAACAGATAATGCATAATATGTCAACAAGATATCAAATTGCAACAGCATAGAACATAACTGAGTGCCAATAACTTAAATCAAACATGGAACTATATTACTGAAGGAAAGAAATTAACAAATGTGAAATCTTGCATCAATAACCCAAAAATGAAAAGCTTTTGTAATAAGGGGAGTCACAGAAGGAGATAAAATGAAACCTTGCAGCTCTTCCAGATGAAGTGAAGCAAATAATAACAGAGGCCCTAACCTTGATGGCTGCTCGAACCTGTATGTTACAGCATAAGAAAATTTACTTCCAATATGCACATCAATCAGTAAGTAAATAATCCTTTGAGCAAGTGAATAGAAGAATCGTGGAAAAGGAATGATAAAAACAATCAAAAAGCTTGAGTAGTGCAACCAAGAAATGTACCGCGGAGGAAGCAATTGATTCCAAGTGGCTCATTGGCTCTCCAACATATTTGACAGCCTTTTTAAAATACAAATCTTGATTATGAACCTTCTCTGCCTGCACACAGCATCTGATTAGTTTCCGTTTACTTTAAGGTGTTGAAGAAGAATATGGGGAGATTCTTGACTCTTAATGGAAAATAGCAAGCCGTTTCATATATTGTCATCAGCAAGACAAGGGAAAAGCAAGAAAGAAAAATGAAGACTGATTCAAATTTGTCTGCTAAGATTTTTAAAGACCAAAGGATAGTATGTAATTACAAAATTAAGAATAGCCAAAACAAATCATTTCTGATGACAAAATATGGTAGTGAGATAATTCTATAGCAAAAGCATATCTTAACAAATTTGAAAACATATTAAATCATTTTATGGATACCAGCAATTGCTTACTATTATAACAAGAAGCAGAAAACAAGTTACCAAGGAAATGAATGTATACGTGTGAGTGGGACAAAGCAAACCTTATAAAGACCATTTGGGCAGCTAAAAAACAATGAATATTAGGCTGTGGAAGTAATTTTGTGAGAGCTGCTATGCACTGCCATATATTATCAAAGTATACGGAAGGAAACTTTCCAAGTAACAAGAATCAATTAAAAAGCAACAGAGCAAGAGAAAGGAATTGACAATGGGAAATGTTTATAATGAAAAAATTGAACGTCTTTTTACAAGATAACAGAAGAGTTGTAGGAATGCTGTTAATAGGTAAAGCGCAAACTTACCTCAGCACAGATTCTTCCAACTGTTGAAATGGTCTCTACAGGATATAATCCCCTCAGGGTCTCTGCCCCAAGGAGAATTGCATCACTGCCTGATCCAAAAGAAAGAATAAAACAAATTTAGACATAAACGGTGAAAGGATTATGCATAATGTGATCAATATAATAAACTAAAGGAGTACTAATAAATAACAGGAACATGTTATGTATTAAATGCAAGTTTAGACGCACTGTAATGCAATCATAATCACAATAAATCAAACAGGATTCACTAAAATACCAAAAAGGAATTAGATCAGGAAAAAAATTACCATCCAACACAGCATTGGCTACATCAGTCGCTTCAGCACGAGTAGGTCTTAGATTATCAGTCATAGAGTCCACTACACGTGTGACAACAACTGGCTTTCCAGCCATGTTACACTTGTAAATAGCAGCTTTTTGGAATAAAAACACCTGTCAAATCCATACAATTATTCTATCACTTTAAGTATATTATATATAACATTTCTGTCCAGAAGTATAGGCTGACCTTCTCAGGTGGGAGATCTATCCCTAAATTTCCACGAGAGACGATGACACCATCTGCTTCTCTCAGTATCTCATCAAAATGTTTCAGTCCCTATTAAGAATTTTACAGTAGAAAGGTGCATTTTAGAATCATAATTAAGCACACTCATCAAAGGATCTTGAACTACTGCAATTTTCTGTTATAGAAGTAAAGTTCACTGCTGGAAGGATCATCAAACTACTTGCCTCTACATTTTCAATCTTAGCAAAAATATTTGTCTGCTTGAGGTCACCAAATTTAGAGAGAAATTCGCGTGCCTGCAAAATGAAAAATGCAAGTATTTTTTTTAATTCTATGGAAAACTAAAAAGAAAATTATTCACTTAAGCACAAGTGTTATGAAAACTAAGCAAATTCAAAAGTTAGACATGAAATCAGAAAGAATGAAAATCATTAATATATGATAAAAAAAATTACAATTTAGAGATAAGATTAAACTTATCAAGAATATTCCTTACATGGCGAATATCTTCAACGTGCCGGGTATATAATGCAAGGAAGTCTATATTGTTTCGAACACCCCATGTGCTTATTGCCTGAGTTAGTGAGTAAAATGTCAAGAGGAACATCTAGATTTTCAAAATTACAAGTTAATAACATAAAGGTATTTGCCATTCATGACAGTAAAAGAGGCAATGCAATCCAGTTATAATGTTTCTTATTGACGCAGATAAAATAATTTACCATATCTACTATGTATACACGAACATCTAATCTTTTGGATTTCCAAATAAATGATTCATTTTCCAGATTGACAGACTAAAGAAAGATAAGCCATTGCACAACAAAATTTAAGAAGTTTCAACCATTGATTAAATCTAGCTATAATTTCAACAACAAAATATAATTCAAATCACCCCATGAATATAGATAAAAATTGAAATATTCTTTCTCAAACAAATAAGTATATTGGAAACTCAACCATGTCAGTCTTCACTGAAAATTCTAGTAGTTACCTCCTTATCCTTTTCAGTAAGAGTTGGAAGATCAATACGAATCTGGGAGACATGTAAAGTATACAATGATCCAGAAAGTGTAGCAGTGTTTTTTACAAGACAAGTGACATCATCACCATCCACCTTACTGACCTGCATGGGGAAACTAAAACTTATTGAAGGACAGTAATAAAACAGAATAATTCTGACTTTGAGTATCAGCAATATTCTACTTTCTGCACTCTGTTTCATACAGTGCTTCCAAGAAAGCTAACTGTAAATAAGCAACATGTTTGTGGCAAGTCTATGA